TCCAAAACAGATCTATTGGTTCTTTTGGCAGTCCATGGCACTTTTAGTATTCTCCTCCAACACAACTCAAAGGCATCACTTCATTCTTCTTGGATCAACTGTCAACACTCGCGGAAGCAGCAGTCAAGAGATCAGACGACGTATTGCATTGGGCAAATCTGCTGCACAGGAACTTTTTTAAAGTATTAAAAGAGCAGAGATGTCAGCTTGAGGACTAAGGTGCGCCTGATCCAAGCCATGGTATTTTCAATAACCTCATATGGGTGCGAAAGTCATATTAGATAACCTGTTGTTATTGTTAAGTGCCGTCAAGTTGGTCCCTATAGCGATCTCGTATAGATTTTCCGAGGAGCGGCTGGTAGGTTTGAACCGCTGACTTTGAGGGTAGCAGTCTAGTGCTATGCTACAGTGATAAAATGTATCATACCAGGATTGTGATAAAATGTAACACACCAGGACTGTGATAAAATGTTAACTATCCAAATGGATTAGTGTATTGTGGTTAAGCAGGATGTGCTTAAGAGACAGGGTGAAATGTCACTATGTCTGCAAGTAACACTAAGGAAAATTTTGTAAGGCCTACAAATCTGTCCCTGGTTTAGGAATTTTGTATCAAATCAACAGCGTCCCCAGACTGAACAGAATAAGCCGTTTCTCCTCGCACAGCTGAGTAGAGGGGCAAGAAGCAGGCTACCGGACTTTCACCATGCTTGGTGGCCCCCAGTCCCCTGAGGAATTCAAGGTCTCAGCCGTGGCACTCAGCTCTGAGAGCGTGGCCCCGCCCCCCCAACACGACAGCAGCACGTGTCGTCCTGCACACTTTACGGCCATAAGGAGAAGGCGCGAAGCTGACGGTGAGTTCTAACCCCCACGTCATTGTGGATTGTTTGTTGTCATGCCCGTGGCTTAGCCATCATGGCGGCGTTGGCAGCTCTAGTGCGCAAAGCAAGGGACTACATGAAGACCAAGGAGTTCCGGGAATACATGACCAGTACGCACTTCTGGGGTCCTGTGGCCAACTGGGGGTTGCCGCTGGCCGCTTTTAAGGACATGACGAAGTCCCCGGACATGATCAGCGGCCGCATGACGACAGCACTCATTTGTTACTCGCTGGCCTTCATGCGCTTCGCCTACCGCGTACAGCCCCGAAACTTGCTGTTGATGTCGTGCCACAGTGCCAATGTGGTGGCGCAGAGTGTTCAGGGGACTCGCTACCTACTTTACTACTACGGCGGCATCGAGGTGACCATACCTGGCAAGTCTGGTGACCCTTCAGTGACCAACTCCAGCCAGGCGGCTAACATCCCTGTCTCTAAGTTCCGGAAACGGTTTTCTTAATGGCTGTCTGACTGAATCTTTGCAGCTTGCAAGCACTGAATTTCACCTAAAGACCAAGTAAAGCTTTGCTTTCGACTCTACAACAGTGCGCATCTGAAACCTGCAGTTCGGCTTTAAAAAAATTAAAACAACAACACAAAAAAGTACCAATTGAAGCTGTTGAGTCTTATATTGTGAACTGGAAAGAAACATATTTGTAGAAGGTGAGGCTTGTCTCCCTTTTCATGGGATCTGCAACTTGAGGGTTAGTTTTAATGGGAAAGATAACTTCAGTTTTTTCACTCACTCATAGTTTTGTTCTTTAATACTCTCTTGAGAACATGTTTTTGTTAACTTTTTTTAGTGTCTGGGCCAAATAAGGGTGTTTAAAAGTTGGTATAGCTACAAATGTCAGTAAACCAAAAGAAAAAAAAAAAAATCCAGGGATGATTTCTACTGCTTTGAAGTATTATTTAAGTGAATTCAGTGAGGTCCAGCATAGGCTTTCAAGGACTTATGCAGAGAACCTAGAATCTCTTTGTGACAGAACAATTAGAGAATTTTGCTTGGAAACAGGATACACGACGTCAAGGACAGTTGCTGTTAGCTCTGTTTTCCAGATCGATAGAAAATAAAAACACTGAAAATCATAATTCTTTCCTCATCTAACCTTTTCACCATGTGTTGGACACTAGCTAGGGTTGGGGGTGAGGGTCCATGATCCATGGTATGAGCCCAAAAGTCTCCCTCTAGAAATTCAGTGAGTAATACTGATTTTTCTTAACCAAGAATGAGAGGAGGAAAAAGAACTAGGGGGATGGGGGGTGGGAGGGTTCTGCATATGAGATCCTCTAGGATTTGATCCAAACTCTTCCCCTGCCTTTGCCTCTGGGAATGCAGGCTGAGTTGCGTATCAAGGAACCCCAGTGTATGTGTTTGTCGTTAGCTGCTGTCAAGTTGGCTCCCTACTCATGATGGCCCCATGGACAATGGAACAAAATGCCACCAGGTCATCCCCTTGATCAGTTGCAGTTTGGACCATTGTGATGCATCGAATTTTTACTGGCTGATTTTTAGTAGATTGCTAGGACTTTCTTCCGTCTTAGTTGGACAACTCCATGGAAACCTGTTCAGCATCCTAGCAACACACAAGCCTCCACTGACAGAGGGTGATGGCTGCACAGAGGTTCATCAGACTAGAATCGAACCTTGGTTTCACACATGGAAAGTGAGGATTCTACTGCAGAACGCCCATTGCCACCTCATGTCCCTCATCTATAAGGGGGCTTCAAAAAGTTCATGGGAAAATTCCATGGTCTTTTAATTACATTTTTCCACAAACTTTTTGAAGCGTCCTTGTGCTAGCTGTGTTGTTAAATGCCGTCAAGTGGATTCCAATTTATAGTGACCGTGTATAGGGTTTCTGTGTAGCAGCTGGTGGGTTTGAACCGCCAACTTTGCTGTTAGCAGTCCAGTCCTTACCCTACAGCACAAGTGCTTAAACCCTGTCTATGATAAAGATTTCAAATGCAAAAGAATTGAAAGCAACTATCTGAAAGGTTCTGCAGACATCAGCTCTTGGGTAAGACCACATTGGTGAACTCTGGCAGAGTCTCTTTTACCTTTTGTGGGTTCTAATCCCTATGTCTCATACTCTGCATACACCCAACCCAACCCAATCTACAATTCCAACTCACAGTGACCCTATATGGGGTTTCTAAGACTATAAATCTTTACAGGGACAGACAGCTTCATCTTGCTCCCAAGGAGCAGCTGGTGGGTTAAAGCCTCTGACCCTGCAGTCAGCAACCAATACTTAATCCATGGTGCTACCAGAACTCCTTATACTCTGCACTGTTGTTAAGTGCTATGGAGGCAGTTCTGACGCATAGCAACCCTGTATGGGGTTTCCAAGGGGCAGCTGGTAGGTTTGAACTATCGACATTGTGGTTAGCAGTCCAGTACTTATCCTACACCACCACACCAGAAATCCCTGCATACGGGGGAGGGGGTTAGAAACAATGGCAAAGTATTAGTTATCTATTGCTATGTAGCAAATCACCCCAAAATGTAGCAGTTACAACAAATAATGGTTTTTGTTGTTGGGTGCCATTTCATGGTTAGGTGCCATTGAGTCGATTCCAACTCAGCGACCCTATGCACAACAGAAGGAAACACCGCCCAATCCTGTGCTGACTTCACAATTGTTAAGTTTAAGCCCACAGTTGTTGCCACTGGGCACTCAACAAGGATGCCACTGCCATCCTTGCTGAGGGTCTTCCTCTTTTTCACTGACCCTCTCCTTTACCAAACATGATGTCTCCAGGGATTGGTCCCTCCTGATAAAACGCCCAAAGTATGAACGATGAAGTCTTTCCATCTTCCCTTCCAAGGGCAATCTGGTCGGACTTCTTCCAAAACAGATTTGATTGTTCTCCTGACAGTCCACGGTATATTCAGTATTCTTTACCATCATTGAAACGCATCCATTTTTCTCCGGTCTTCCTTATTCATTGTCCAGCTTTTGCATGCATATGTTATTGTTAAATGCTGTTGAGTTAGTTCTGACTCATAGCAACCCTGTATAGGGTTTTTGAGGAGTGGCTGGTTAGCTTGAACCGCCGATCTTACAGTTCAAACCGAGGAAACTGAAAATACCATGGCACTTGGGTCAAAAGCACACTCACTTTATTATCTTATGCAATTTCTGAAGGCCAGAAACAAGGGAGTGGCTACACTGGGTACTTCTGGCTCAAGGTCTGTCACTCATCCAAATGTTTGCAGGAGGCATCAGTTCCTTACTACACGAGCCTCTCAACAGGGCTGCTTATTAGACGGCTTCCCCCAGAGCAAGTTCGCGACAGTGCCCAAGATGGAAGCCTTGGTCTTTTATGACCTAATCTGAGAAGTGACAAATTACCACTTTGTTGTTGTTGCTAAGTACCGTGGAGTCGGTTCTGACTCACAGTGACCCTGCATGGAGTTTCCGAGGCTGTAAATCTTTATGGGAGCAGAAAGCCTCATCTTTCTCCCACGAACAGCCGGTAATTTCGAACTGCCGACCTTGAGTTTAGCAGCCTGATTCATAACCACTATGCTACCAGAGCTCCATTCTAATGGACACTAGCTAGGGCTGGGGGTGACACATAGACCAACCCTGGTACACTGTGGGAGAATAAATAATACAAGAGTGGGAATACCAGAAGCAGGGATCGTTGGGGGCCATCTTGGAGGCTGGCTACCACCCCTGGTTCTAAAATAAGAATCATCATGTCTTTCTGAAATACAGTGCAAATAAAGTATGTAGAGTCACTGGGTCATTCTCCACCTTTCCAAAGAGATGCCACAAAACACAGTTTTGTGGTCATTACTAATGAGAACATATCACCATATTTGGGATTTCAGAGGCAGGAAAGAAGCCTCTAGAAGAAGATAGTGGTACTCTTAATATTTTAGATTAATTCAGGTGACAGTGTAGGAATAAAAACCACTCTGTAAAGTTCTGAAATAAATCATAACCAGATATCAAGATTTTTAAATTGAAACATTAAAGAACATTCTTTCACTTCACTGAGTATTACACAGGCAGAAATTAATATATTTTTAGGTTTGTCTTACAAGATGTAGTTTGTAATTTGAATATTGTATTTCAATAAAAGAATACTGTATTTCAATAAAAGGCCACTGTCTAACAAGTCGGTTTTTAATTAACCGAGTGAGGGAAAGAAGGGATAATCTCTGCTAACTTCCTATCACGTCCATCCAAATGCAGAGCTCCACTTATGGATCTAACTCATAGTATGCCCACACAACTAAGATCTAACCCTTTGTTGTCTAGGATATTAGTGTTTAAAGCCATGTTTATTACATGACTAATACTTTCAGCAAACCTTTCAAAATCACTAGAGTGAGTCTTAGTTCTTTAGTGCTGCTATAACAGCTAAGGGCCAGCTCTAGGGGAAGGTTTTCTCTGTCACCTCTGCATTTGTAGGCCCAGTATTCCTTGCATTATCTCCACGGGTCTTGGCTTGAATGTTCACTGGGGTCTGGATGTTTCACAGTACAGGGACCCCAAGTCCAAAGAATGCGCTCCACTCCCAGCTCCTCGTTCTTGGTGGTGGGATGTCCCACTCTCTGCTCACCACGTCATTTTCTTTTTTTAACATTTCATTGTGAATGGAGTGAAGGTTTACAGAGCGAGCAGATCATCAATTTTATAATCAGTAAAATCAGATGTTTCATTACCATGATTTCAATCCCCTTCATGTACCATCAGTTAACAATATTTACTTCTATTCACTTTAACTCTTGCATTTCTCCCTGTACCTCCCACAACCTTCATTTTTCCTCTGCCAACCTCTCCGTTGTGTATTGCCTTCCCAGTCACCCAAGTTAATATAACTGCCCTCTAGTCTGTGAATAGTTTTCTTCAAATTTTTTCATTCTTTTTTGATTTTTCTTCTAGCATACTAATATTAAGAGCTTCATCTTCAAGCTCACTAGTTCAGGCTTCCATTGCTTCAGATCTACTCCTTTGCCCTTTCAATTACATTGTCCATTTTTGAAATCTTAGTATTAATCTTCTGGATTTCTCATTGTAGGTTTTGTATTGTTTTAAAATTTGCATTTATTTTGTTGTTTGTTCATGTATTGTTTTCCTGAATTTTTCTAAATTTTTTTCTGTGTTCTCCTTGCTTTCCTCAATCTGTTGAAAGTACCTAAATATTCTTTTGAGTTTTTTCTTAGGCAATTCCATTACTTTTTCTTCCTCGGAGATGTTTTCTGGCTCTGCATCTTGATTATTTGTTTGAATCACTCTGTCATTTCCTCCTGTGAGCTAAAATTGTTGTTTCTGGGACACTGCAGTGTTGTCTATATTTAATTGATGATTGACTGTATGTTGCTGTATTCGTAGGCTCTCACCAACTGTGTCCTGTGAGTGTAGAGAATGAAGTGTGAGCACCAGTCTTCTTTTGCCATTTGTGCACCTCACCTTAGGTTGTGTTTGGCTGCTGTTGGCTGCTATCGTTGACTGGGTGGTATAGGAGCTGGTATTGGCTTTTGCCCAGTGACTGGAGTGGCAGAGGATATAGTTGTGGCTAGGCTGTATGGGCATGGTGGCAATCTCCCGTTGGGTGGGGCAAGAGGAGACAAAACACACACAAACACAAGAAGACAACAGAACAAACAATAAAACAACAGTGAAAAGAGAAAATAAAGGGAAAAAATCAGGAAGCAACAAGAAACAAAGAATAAAAAGAAAAAAGAGGAATGGGAAGATGGACCTGTAAAAAGATAAAAATTAGGAAGGAAAAACAAAAACAAAAAACAGACCCACCCCCTCCACACACAGAGTAGACAGAGATGGGCAACTTGGGCATTGGATACCCAAAGTGGGGTGGGGGGTGGGGGACTACAAAGGCAAGAAGTGACTGGCTTACAAGCTTTCAAGAGGGAACCTAGAGCTAGGGTGCATGGAGGAAGGCAGAATCTCCAGTGAGTACTATCCAATCT